CCCCATCACAGTGAGACTTCTTCACGTCACTGAGAAGATGGGAGAACTGCCACAGTGACCCAAGCCCCCCAGCGTCTGTCTCCGCCCACTCCCCAGCCTCACTGTTCCTCCCTCATGGCGCTGCAGTCTCTCATCCACAGCCTGCTCTCACTGGGCCTGCACCCCCTGGAACACTCGCCCACTGGGGCCCCATCTGGGTGGCTCTTGCCTCCTCTCCCTCACGGTGTCGGCCATATTTGCAGGGTCATATTTTTCATCATCATTTGAATGGTACCTCATAACTCTATGAGGACAGAGACCCTGAGTTTTTGTTCACTGCTGAGTCAGCACCTGGCATGGCACCCACCACAGGGTGGACACTCAGTTAGTGGATAAATGAATGAATGCTAACTCATTCATTCCATAACACCCTGCTGGACCGTAGAAGTGAAGTAATTATAATACACAGTCCTCGTCCCCAAGTGGTTCACACAGTGGCAGATCTGGGTGAATCAACAGGTATTTACAAAGCTGCAGAGTCACAGATCCACAGCAGGGAGAATCCGAGATGCCACAGACGCACCTAGGAGGGCACCGCTCTGCCCTATGTTGGGATGACAATACATGAGGCCTAGAATGTGAGCCATCACCGGTTGGGGGTTCAGTATAGGGAAGCCATCGGCCATCACCGGCTGGGGGTTCAGTATGGGGAGGCCATCGGACATCACCAGCTGGGGGTTCATATGGGAAAGCCATCGGCCATCGTCAGCTGGGGGTTCAGTATGGGGAAGCCATCAGCCATCGTCAGCTGGATGTTCAGTATGGGGAAGCCATCGCCAGCTGGGGGTTCAGTATGGGGAGGCCATTGGCCATCGTCAGCTGGAGGTTCAGTATGGGGAAGCCATCGCCAGCTGGGGGTTCAGTATGGAGAGGCCATCGGTCATCACCCACTGGGGGTTCAGTATGGGGAAGACATCACCAGCTAGGGGTTCAGTATGGGGAGGCCATTGGCCATAGTCAGCTGGAGGTTCAGTATGGAGCAGCC